CCCCAAAACCCCAAAACCCCAAAACCCCGTTAGGTAAAATTAATAAAATCAGATGATAATAATATTATCTAATCAAAATGTAAGTTCCAGGAACAAAAGCATCATAAAGAGATAAAGAGGATGATTAAAAGAAGTTTGCAGAGAGATAGCTAAACAGGAAACTAGACTTCTTAAAGCTTAGAGAACCCTGTGATTTCCCTAATGTCAAATATGAAGTGACAGACTCAGATTTTGTAGATCTGGTTACTGAATTGCAAAGTGTATACAACACAGTTCATGGCTTGAACAGCATGCTCTTCAAATATCAATAGGCTGCTTAGAGTAAGTATAGATTTTGAATAAAATAAGGCATTAGATTTGATGAGTGCAAATTAAGGATTAGGCTAGTAAGCTCAGAAAGCCTATTCTCAAAGTCACTCTTTCTATGAGACAGGCTAATGTGTCTCTAAATCACATGATGAAAACCTGCCAATTTATAAGTCATTTATCGTGAGACTTGAGGAAGTATACAAAGAATTCACAGTTTTCTTTGTGAAATTCGATGCACTTTACTCTAAATTAAATACTAGGGATGAAGCTTTTGAGAAGTTTAAGCACTATTACAGGAAGCTAGAGAATATGAATTAGGATAGGAATTTCATGATAAAGAAAGGGATACAAGACTCAATTACTGATGCTAAAGATTTGGAGGTTATAGCAAGAGTAAGTTCATATTGCTTAATCTCTTTGTAGAATGAAAAGAAGTATGCAGCTTCTTACTAGGAATTTCTTAGGCTGAACAAGCCTATGTACTTAGAAATTTAAGATTTGGTCTATCAAAAGTACACAAAGGTAACTCCAATTGCTATGAAATTTATCAAGGAGGCTAGCTCATTCTTTGCTCAGATGAGTTCAAATTACTCTGGTTTAAGGAAGAAATGCAGAGCTACTTATGATTAAATTGATCCTTTGGATGATTATTAAGCACCTGAGGAGTCTAAATCTACTAAAAATATTGTTCCCACTCCTAAATTTGAGCAGGAGCCTCATGTGAGATTTGACTCTCAGCCTCCAAGCCAGCAGCAACAGAACTTTGATCAATATCCTTAGTAATAATAGCCATAAAGTCGTGGGGGATATAACGACATGTATGAGAGAGCATATCAAGAGGAAATAGCTTCTAAATAGCAAAAACCATATTAAGAAGCAGTTTATGTTCAGCATAAAAAGAATCAACCGCCTTAATATGAAGAGGAGTATTATAATACAGGCTATTAATAGCCACCTCAAGTATAATAAAAGCAATAGCAGAGGCGTGGTAGATAATAAGATTATTATGACGATGAGTACTACGATGATGAGGAGTATTATGAAGAACATCACTAAAATAGAAAGAAAAAGAAGAAGTCTGGACTTGGAGGTGTATTAAGTGATATGGGATTTGATAAAGAAGAGGTAGCAAAGGGCATCTTTTCAGCAATATTCAAAGATAAAAAGTGAGTCATTCAACTCATGTCTCATAAGACTTAGCCAGAATCCATGTCAAATATTTTATGTGAAATTCAATTTAACTTTTGTGTTGTGATTCTGCTTTATGGGGTTTTGGGGTTTTGGGGTTTTGGGGTTTTGGGGTTTTGGGG